AATCCTTTTTATTTTCCTTTTTTCGCGAAGAAAATTTCTCTCTTCGTAACTTTAATTTTTTTTTCGGACGTGACCACAAACAGGAGGCAAATAACAATCCTCAAAAAGTGTTTGTTGGCAGCTTATCTATTTTATGCGTGATTGATGCTGATGATTTCGCAGCTGCATAGGAGGCTGTCACGTATGGCACCTCTTTTATTTTATTAAGGCAAGCACTAGTTAACGCTTGCTTAACCTTTAAACGGTGCATAGGACTTGGATGTAAAGTTAACTCCCTTTAAGTGATGTATTTTTTAATTGAACTTAGTTTAGTTTTCAACACAACTTGAAAGCTAAGCACACGCACGAGGCCTTTTGTCAAATAAAGAGTCAGATAAAAAAAATGACGGGTGAATTTTTTTTGCAAGCTTTTTTAGCCGGTGTTTACTTTTCCCTTGATATCATGTCACTGGAACAGGTGCATTTAGTTGATCAGATAACCAAAGAGATTGAAAAATTATTTAAAAGGGCGAACTTTTCGGGATGAAATTAAGGTTTGCGTGAATTTGCAGCCCTGAAAGGATTTTCTGAACACATAAATACTCGCCCCCCTTTTTACTGAAAGGGTTTTTATATAAAAGATCAAAGTTTTCACTCATAAAACATAATATCTACATAATGACGTTTAACGTCAGTGAATATGAAAATGTTAAATTCGAGGCCAAAACAACAATTGCTGTGTTATTGATTTTATAAAAAGTTTATTCAACACATGCCGGTTGTTACCTATCTACTTTGAGTTTTAAAAGATTTTTGCTCACTCGATCATACCGGTCATCAGAATCTCCAAAGCACATCTCCTTAAGGAAATAATAACTGATACTCACTTCTGTTAGTATCGTCATAATTCATGCATAAGCTGTATCCACAGCCGCCACAGAAGATTAGTGATGCTGCGCCTGAGGCAGGTAATTTTTTTGTTAGTGAGTTTTTGTTGATGCACCTTACTGGATATATATCATATCACGCCGATTGTATTTATTTCAAAAGACTGTTTGTGTTTTTTAGATCGAGGCTTACATGCGTTCAAAAATTTACTATAGATGTAAGACTATGGGTGTGTTTCTCTATTTATATTTAGGTATAGATATAGAATTTCTATTTCGACTGACTTATCGAATGAAAATATTTAGGCAAAAACTGTGATAGGATGATTAAAAGCTTTTATCTGATAAAGAATTGAAAAAAATGTGCTGTCAGCTAATGCATGGTTCACGCACCGAATATCGAATAAGGGCCGTTATCCTGATGCTCTTCATAAAGACAATGTATTCTCACGGTTTTTCTTAAATAAGCAGGGAGTGTGAATGGGTACCGGAAATTGTCTGAGACACCTCGCGAATTATTTGGATGGGCGGAAGAGAGAGAACTGGCTACGATAGACTAACTTTCCGTCCCTTCACGCAGTGGAAACTGAAACGCTCTGATAGCTTTGACAGTTATTCTCGTACAGGATATATTCCGTCATAATTAATGTTCGACTCGTGTTTTCAGTATCTCGCTGCAAATGGCTGCTGCATTCAATTCAATACTCCGCTGTTAATCGGAACTGTGTGGATATCATGTCGCATTATGATATCAAGGAACTCTTGAAAAACCTTGCCTATCAATGTTAGTCAGTTTTCATTTCCATTCGGGGGATCAAATAGAGTGACGTTCTCGACTCAAAAATTTTAAAAGAAAATTTCAGAGGAAACTATTATTAATTTTGTTTTCTATTCATAACTTCGAGAAAATTGACACTCCTTAGAGTCCGTTACCATTACTGCTCTAATATGGAACTAGAAATAATCCTTTGTTAATCAAAATCTTTGCGCGTATAAACGTTTTATCTGGATCAGTGTGAGTTTCCTAACAATACGAAAACCGCATCATCTCATTGCTGAGAGCAGTTATCACGTTTTTGATTCTAAATCCTCCGTTGCAATAGCCTGAGCTGCATTCTTTCCTCATTTTTCAAATAAGGTCAAAACAATTCGCTCACTTTTGGCTTCTTTGCTCCTTGGTTATCATCTCAAATCTACTTTAATCGTTTTGTGGCCATATGTTTGTATTAATTCCTGTGATTTACGTCATTGACCGCGCCAATCAATTCTCCTGATTTTTTTCTTTTTTTGTCCTATGCCTGATCGTTTTAAAAACAAATGCGTAGACGATCCTTTATAATTTTCCGCTTGTTTCTAAAGTTGATTAAAGTGCAGATGGTCCCGGCAATATTGGACTTAAAGGCCTATAAACTTCTCTTTTCAGACAAGTCGGATGGCTTTGGCAGTTCCCTTTCTAAACGAAAGACACCACGTTAGATTCTTCTTCCTCGCCTGCTTTGCTGTGTGTTGCTTGGGTGTCCAAGGAATTTCCTTTTCTTATGACAACATTGTAAAAAAGGCACGTTGTACCGCAAACTGCTACACTCAGGTGAGTTTAGGTTAAAATTCGAAAAATTCTTGTCCATTCTTTGCGTTTAATTAGTCGAAAGTTAAAAACGAGGCAAGTTTGCCACATTATTAGGGTCTGTTATCCGTTTCGTAAAACAGATTACGATTGAGTGCCATCGATTTCAGTTATTTGTGCATTTGCCGTTAATCAGAAGTTATTCCTTGAGTTATTCGCTCGCCACCGGTAAGTCTCGCGTTAAATGACAAAATCCAAACAATGATGAGCAATATTCGAGACTGATGGCAGCTCTTAAAGGGAAATGTTTCAAATCGTGTTTCTTGGGGGAAATCGGCATTTTATGCCCGCTAAATAAAAATATAAGGCCGGGTACGACGATATTTGTTTGCTAAACAGCCTGGCAAGAGAACCGGCATCCAACACGGACATTGCTGAAACGCAAGTAATGATGTCATATCTACCGACTGATCGAGTTCAACCAGGTGTTCTTATAGGATTCATTAATTAAAAATATCTGATTAGAAATTTAAGAAATCCTTCCGTTATAAACTCCAGAATTCTTGGAACAAATCATTTCAATCACTGGAATTTCATCATGTGCGTGAAGGGTCATACAGTGTTTATGGATCGGTCATGCATGTCCAAGTAGACACAAATTCGCGGTTTCCGTTTCTAAGTCAGAAAGACGCAGGTCGAACAGCATACCGCATAAACATCGATTTGTTTGGTGAATATAAAAACTCGCAGTCATTAAATTGTTGACTTTTTTTCTGTCATTCCCTACTGATAATTGTCTCCCTGCGGCTTTTGAGTCGTCTATGGCAAACAGCTCCGACAGATTTGTCTATTAGACATACACGCTCATTAATTACTTTGACTTAAGAGCTCTGGCTAGGTCTAGAGCTTTCGTTTTAAAAACAAAACTGAAATGCCCCTCACGAGTTAAATACTTTTGCAAAAATTCTGAATAAAGAATTAAACTTCGTCTCTGGCATGAATAATGAAGATAACATTTCACTTTGAGGGGAGCATATGAAGACGTGAGACTCTATATACTCTAAGAACTGCTATCGCTTCATAGTTCAAGTGCATTGTTTCCAGACATAAATACACTCAAGATCCTAATTTATATCTTAGGGGACGACCTCTTTCCCTGTGCATGCATGATACCGGTTTCTCATTTGCCGGCTAGAGCGTGTTGATGACATATAAAGCATACCACCATCAGTTATTTACCCTTTTAGTCTGCTGTCCTAACATTTTGAATACGTAGAATTACAAACATTATCGTTTATGATCTTGTCGTATCTATTCTCGTAAGCCTTATAATTACGTTTGATTTTCGACAGTATTAAGGCAAAAAGGAAAGGGAAATCACCAGAGAGAATCCCTCCTTCCTTGCAAAGCTCTCAATTCAAATAATGAAATGACTACAGATTTCTAGTTCGTGCTTGACTTTAGGTTGTGGAATGAACTCGAAATTTTTTTTCATACTACCCTGAGACTAGTTCAGTTATAATCATTAGTTTCAGAATTTCTCGCTCCTAAACAACCGTTCAGCCCAAACAAACATAAATACTGGCTTAACTTAAGTCTAAACGGGGTTTTTATGCATGAAAGCAAGATCATTAACACTTGTGCCTCTAACGTTCATATCATGGCCAATCTTGAAGGTACACCGTCTGAACAAAAGCTCGTTTACGTAGTTTTTAAATAAGGTTACAGAGAATCAATGGCTTTTCTTTTGTAAATGATCGATTTTTCCAGAATAATTCAACACAGCCAAAGTAAACTTTCGATGACCCAAAGACCTTATGAACAATTACAAATTTTTTTTTTTCATGCCATCAGTGTCAGTCTCGTCAGTGCACCTTATTTTCACACTTTACATAGTTATCGACCATTTTTTTCCTCATGAAAAAATATGGATCTTTAGTTTAGGGTCAAAGTCATTTGCGAAAAAGCAGCAGTTCCATTGTACTGAAACGTAAAGTGTAAATGAAAACTTATGATACAGGCAGACTTAGACTCCTTTGATATACTTGTTTATATATCTAACAGCCGCGTTTTAAAATCTTTGCGATTTGCCAGCTTGCACCAGAGAAAATTCCGTGGGAAGGCTGTTGCAATAATGCATCCGTATTGGGAGAGGGCACAAACTGAGGGTCGACGTGGAGTCGTAATAGTCTTGATTATCATCTGTTGCGCAAAGCTGTATGACGTCATTACTTTTTACATGTCAATTACTAATCTGCATAGAAGAAAAATTAAAAGGAAAAACTTAAAAATGTAAAATTAATAGTAAAGAAAGAAAGAAAAGGTAATCAAGGAAACTAAGCGGAAAAGGCCAAAAACATATCACAAAGACTTTGCAAAAAACAAAATCCTTTGGCGTAATAAAAGTTTGTAAAGTGGCAAATTTGCACTTTAAGGTCATGAATGATGTTTTCAATCCCTGTTGTGGTAGAGTTGAGTCGGCAGAGGCAGCGGTGATTCTGTCGTAACTTACAGGTACAAATACATATGGTTAATTACCGATGCAACGAAGGAACTTTCTGTTATTTTAGGGCACATGTGGAGGGTCTTCAATATGAGTATACCAGGGTAGAGTTGACAATCTTAAGGTTATCGATCCTCATAAAGAAAACGTACCAATTGATCATTCTATTTCTGTTCAAATTGTAGTACGCGGTTCCTAATGATACAGACAAAATTTGTGAAAGCACATCTTGCACCAAGGTAAGTCCATTGACACACTTTCTTCATATGTCACACCAGGTCACGATAACGTCACCATGAAGCTAGAATGACAGTGATAAAAATGAAGATGATTTTGAGAATAAGTCTGTTTGATCATCAGTATCTTTTATAACCTTTACCTTTCCTTCAGTGTTTGAGACCATGCAAGTTTGTATTTCTGGAACGCTCCGAATCACAATGCCTACAAAATTGTGTAAGTACGAACCCTCTCGACGTTCAATTTGTAAGGCGAAGGACTCAGAGCGGCATCAGTGTCAATTAAATTAACTTACTGTTTCGTTTCCTCTCAATATATTGCCGTTATCGAGTAAAAGTTGGAAAGAGCACTTGCACCATAGTGGTCCCGTCTACAGTCTTGTCCGGAATCAATTTCAAGTTTTTCTAGACCAGCCATTTCTCGCCATATGCAAAGTAACACACAGGCTGTAGGCGAATTTAAGAAGTGTATAAAGTTCTTAGGAATAACTTACGGTGGTATATTTTACCGTTCAAAGAAACCAGCGTTAGTTTAGCCATATATGCACAATTAAAAAACTAAATTCGATCCAGCAGTTGTATCTACTGCTGAATAACAAATCAACGATAAGTAGCTTACATAATCCAATACTATTTTGAAGCACTGTGACGTTTACGTTAAGACGAAATTTGTCATCAGTTCGGTAGGAGATATTTTATTACTCCCTCCTCAAAGTAAAACTTCGCAAGATAGAGGTGGTTTGCTGTAGACTTGCAAAAATATCTTGAGGGAATATTTTTCTTATAAATAAGCTAAATAAGTAGTAGTTGCCAGTTACAAGAATCATTATTTGTAGCCAATCCAAACATTTATAGTATATCAAATACCTTTGCAGAGAAATTCAAGCAGCTGTGAGTCGAGCTGTATATTTTTGGAGCAGTTAAACAGCTTCGCCTCGATACAAATTGGTGACGGATCTAAGATTCCCACGCCGAGCATACCAAGAGTAACAAATAAGAGCCTCACTTCTTTATCACTACAATGGGATCCTGTGCAAAATGCCAGTGGTACTCCTGTGTACTTGATTACAATGGACAGAGAAGGCGATGATGTTTCAACGCGTAACTTTATCAATGTGCGTATTCACGTTCTTAAACCCTTAAAGCCAAAGGGTCGTCTCATCAATACCCACGCTTTTCCATTCATTCATTCGTTCTTTCGCGCGTTTGTTTATCCATTCATTCATTTCTCCACTCAACTGCATCGTTTAGTCAGTCTGCCTGTTTATCACTTGCCTTTCCAACTTTTTCAGGCTTAACATAGTTTCTAACCTATACTAATAAAGCAGAATTTAATTCATATTAAGCTCAGATTGTATAATCAAAGTTCGTCTCATTTTGTCTCATTTTTTTGTCATTTTGTCAGGTGTTCACAAGCCCTCACGCCACTCTTCGTACCGCAGTAGAGTTGTGTGGTGGACTCCGCGCAATTTCTCGCCAAACGTTTCAAGGGATTTTCTTCAAATTGAAGGTTGCGGTCGTTACAGAAAATTCATCAATCAGTAACGGAGAAAAGACGAATACCATATGTAAGTTGCTTTAATACATATGTCAACTCTTTCGGATCTTCAGCATTTTTCTCTTAGGGATAACCTTTCCTTCTTGCGTATCTCCGCATACGCGCTATGCACCGCTATCGTAGAAAACGCTTAAGCAACGTTAGGAACTAGTATCCATTCGGCATGGGGGGAAACGCTTCTCCATTCCTGTAAAGCACCTTTCTTCCCAGTAGTTGTAAACGCAAAGTGAATGTTGGTAAGCTAATCTTACATTATCACCATTTATTTTCATTTTAGCCCTACCACAGCCTGCTCCAATCAGCGACCTGGCATTGATAAGCCTTGTCTATGACGGTGACCAATATCAAAGCAACAGAATAAAACTGATGGCCAATTGGACTCAGTCAAAGCGTATGTACATGTACCACTAAATGCAATTGCTTGATGACAGGCAGCTATATACGAATTTGTATAGCTAAATTTTTAGCTAAATTGGGGGTCAGAATGAAGAAGTTTTTTTTCTTTCTTAGCTGCCACCATTCGATCACTCCGATTGAAACCGACAAATGGACTCAAACTCAATTGATAACTGACAAACGACTGGAGTTCTAAATTCAAACCGACAACCACTCGTCGTACCCACCCC